GTAACAGACAGAGGTCGTATTGGCCAGTTGAAAGGTCGATATATCATTCAAGAACTTCTATTAAAAGTGGATGCTTGCAGGATATGTGATACTTCCAATGAAGGGTGAGTGAGTTAATATTTATTGTCAAATCGAATGAAGGGATTTAAAACAAAGTGGTAGGCTCTGGGAGAGTACACTACATGGTCATTACACTACGGCATCATATCTCAGTGGACGAGCATTTCCACCCGACATTCGTCCGAAATAGTACACATGTACATATACTATACTGGACAAAATTAGTTAGGGATATATGTATTTTTTGAAATTATGACAAAATTAGTTAGGATATATGTAATTTTTGAAATAATGAATAATGATCTATTTATTCATAAAATATCAATCATAAAAATACCAATATACCCTAACTTATTTTGTCCAGTATATATTGCATAAACCATGTTATAGCATCTGGTTTTACATAAGAAATGTAGCGGTGGGAATAGCCTAGTAGTTAAAGCGTTCGCTTGTCACGCCGAAGACCCAGGTTCGATTCCCCACACGGATGCATTGTGTGAAGCCCATTTCTGGTGTTGCCCGGCGTGATATTGTTGGAAAACTGCTTAAACCGGCGTAAAACAGTACTGACTCACTCCACTTCATAAGAAATGTGATAAATTATGAGCGTTAAAAGCGACAACTCACCACCGCACCGCTCAATATATCAAAGATCTATATGTATTTTTCAGACCAAACTCTCTACCTATCACCACGGAATAGATACCAAGGTGAAGCCAATATACAGAAGAAGCAATACGTAGTTCTGAAACAACTTGTTGGAATCTCTGTACTTCGTGGTTCATAATCAGACCATTTATCGTCCACCTCGATTTATGGGGATGTAAGTTATTAAGCGTGTTAACAAGAAGGGTGACCAGTTGCTGCATGAGATTCAGGTCACCGGCGCCTTCCGAAACACCCCCGAAATTAATCCCATGTCACCTTAATGTAAGAAAACAAAATGCTAAGCAAACCTGTTCACCATCTCCTTTACATAGACCTACATGCTGAGTTGAATATATGATCACTGTGAAGTTAAATAACGTTAGTTGCGGAGAGTTCTTGGATGGGTGGACCGCATCCTTGGTGTAGTAGTTAGAGCGTCCGCCCGGAGAGAGCGGAAGGTCGCGGGTTCGATCCTGCCGCGTCATACCAAAATGTTAAAATATGGTACTAGTTGCTCCGGGGGCGGTGGGGGTAGCCCTAGTGGGTAAAGCGTTGGCTCGTCACGCTGAAGACCCGGGTTCGAATCCCACATTGGTACAATATGTGAAGCCAATTTCTGGTGTCCCCGCCGTGCTGTTGCTGAAATATTGCTAAAAGCGTCGTAAAACCAAACTCACTCACTCACATGTTGTTCCCTGCCTGGCGCTCGGCATTAATGAGTTAAACAAGGACCGGTCGGTTCGGAGTCAGTATAATGTCTGAGTGGGGTATTCATGCTTAACTGCAGCATGCTATCTCAGTGACCTACTACAATGTAGTGCTATAACCAGCTTAAGTCTGGGATAGTACAAGCAGCCACACACATACACATATGCACGTTTTCATATGAGCGAAATATTGTTAAGTACGACGTTAAACCCCATTTCATCTGACCTTGGATGTGTGACCGTGGCGGCTTGACTTCAGTCCTGGGATTCTCGGAATTCAGTCCTACCCAAGAACGAAGCACAATGGACCCATGTGTCCTCTCACCCAAAGCACGAGAGTTTGTTCTGATCACCCAGCAGTGAATGGATACCCCACCGCCCCGGGAATACTTTGTATTGCTATACACACTTCATTATATTGTATCTATGACAACACATACATTTACTTTTTTTAGGAATGGCCTTGATGTGATACGACTGGATGGAACGAAACTACCCCCCGTTGGACGTGATGCCGTGATGGACGCTTCAATTGTGTTTCTTTAAAAATATTTTCCCACTTTCAGTTCAGAATAAAACGCGAACCGAATGTCTCTCCTGAGTGACAGGCAAGTGAGTGAGTAAGGTTTTATGCCGCTTTTAGCAATATTTCAGCAATATCACGGCGGGGGACACCCGAAAGGGGCTTCACACATTGTACCAATGTGGGAAATCGGGTCTTCATCGTGACGAGCGGATATTGACACATTGCATGTTCGTCCTATACAAACAGATGAAAAACAAACCCAGTCTTTGAAAGAATCAATCTAAGCTCATGTCACACAAAGAATAAGATAATATGTCTGAAAACCCGAATGTTCCAAAGTTCCCCCTTCAGGGTGGTTTGGTGTTGGTTACAGTCTTACATATGAACTTTCCCTACTTCTTTAATCTGTCAGATTGTACAATGGGGCTACTCTTTTAGTTTCCTTTGTTCACGTGTCAATAAAACGAAGTTATCAACGTCTTTTGATATGGTAAATATCATCTATTTGGAATACATTGGAGCCTGAACGAGCTAAACACATACTGAGTATCTCTAATCAAAATATATACCGTCCCAAAAGAGTGAGTGAGTTAGTATTTTAAGTCACATCGGCAATATTTCAGCCATATTGTGACTAAATTATTGATTTAAAGTAATTAACAGTAAATATCAAAATCCTGCAAACGAAGGAGAGTAACACAGCTAGATTATCACAGATATAAATTTATAAACTATTAATTAAATCTAAAACATTTTAACTACAGATTACAATACAATATAAAAAACTGGCTATAGATTGCCAACAACTGTTGATCACCATACTAGGGACCATGGGGACTTACAGTACATTTGCTTCCTACATGGCCCCTAGCTGGATTGGGTTTAGGACAAATGCCACCCGGACAAAAACAACCCGGACAAAAGCAACCTAGGACAAATGCCACCCAAAGAAAAATATAAAAATAAAAACCACCCAGGGCTCGATTTAAACAAATGAAACCTACATGCACCCAGTGCAAATAACAAACAAAAAACAACTGAGTATTAAGGGAAATTTGAATAGGAGGCAGAATAAAAAAAGGAAAAATATGAAATAGGCAAAGAGTAACTAAGAGATATGGAATTTAATATAGATGTAATGTAGCAAATGGTTATTGTTATTATTATTGTATTTTTTTCAACCAACCCATGTTTGAAAACATATTTTAATCGAAGTGAATATTTCTTTTAAAGAAACAAAATTATTCATCGAAGTCTACATAACTGTACATCAAAATAAACATTTGTTCAAAGTGGATATTTTTTTATAAGAAACCAAATTATTCATGAAAGTCTACATAATTTTACAACAAAATAAACATTAAACTCAAGAAGGGTGGCAATTGCCCTCTCTGTAATGGTAACATAACTGGGTGGCTTTTGTCCTAGGTGGCATTTGTCCTAGGTGGCATTTGTCCGGGTGTTTTTGTCCGGGTGGCTTTTGTCCTGCTCCCGCTGGATTTACATCGTCCCTTCGGCCGTCAGCAATTGTCGACCAATCTAGCCATAAATGAAAATAACAGAGATACTGCAATAACACTGGTAGATATATAAATACCTGGAAAGACATGGACTTACATACCTCTCAGGGGAACAATAATTTTACGGTATTTCAACCCTAGTCAAGGGAACAGCCATAACCAATCCCTGTTAATAAATATATCCTGCCTAATTATATAAATTATATCTATGTACATCAGAATTTATGAATTAGACCGTCCCAAAAGACACACGCCTCATAACCTCTTTACCATGTCATGTAGCTGTTTTCATTTATCAAGCCATGTCGATAAGAAATTTGAAAATATGAAATGTACTATAGGCCTGTGGCCTCCTCAGTACTGAAATAAAGATTGATTGATTGACTAGCCTTGAAATGGCACAAGAACTGGTAAATTTGGATCAAGACTTGTCAGGTACCTCAATCGGTAGGCAATACAATATCTTTCAATCAAACCTTCGTGTGTTTGTTTTTTTTTTTAAGGCACACACGGGGTAACTGTCGTTAAATATTATTTAATAAAGCATTTTCTATTTACCGTGTGGACAGATAATCTCTTCCTATAACTTCGTGATTAGATTTCAGTTATGGACAGGCTGAATATTGCAATTGAACCACAAACATATATATATTTCTATTATTGTTTCATATCATACAATTTAATTTTTTTTTAGAAATCACCAATTTCGGTTAGACTCTTGTGATATGATAATGAATATTCACGTAATACCGGTATGAATGCTTTTAGTTAACAGTATATGGGTATACACAGGGGAGGTATGTAATGTCTACTGTGTATGGGTGTACACGCAGGGGAGGTATGTGATGTCTTACAGTGTATGGTTATACACAAAGGGTAGGTATGTGATGTCTTACAGTGTATTGGTGTACACACAAAGAAAGGTATGTGATGTGATGTCTTACTGTGTATGGGTGTTAACAAATTTGTAAGTGCGCTTCTTTTGACATTATGGAAGCATCCAAAACAAATGAAATTCACCCATTAACTGCGTTTTAATTGAGTATGGTGTACAATCAAATATGCTGTTAGCAGAGACTTCTTATGGATGTGGAAAGGGTTTTGTTGCTTCAGATTTCAGGTTGTAATACGCCACAGAAGTATTTCCTAAACCTTCAATTTGACTATTGAAACAATAATCGTTTGAATTAACACAAACCTGCGAGGAAAGACAAAAGGCTAATCTAGTACTCATGATATAGTCGGAATTTTACCATGGAATGTCCGAAGAAGGAAAAAGGTTAATCTAGTACTTTTGGGCTAAATCGCATAAAGACCATGGAGCCCTACCGCTGCTCGGAACTACATTTACTATTATTATGATGGACTCCATCCGCCAAGCAAAAGAGAAACGAAAACAGCAGAGAAAAGTATGTGATTGGATCACAGATTATATGTGTAAACATGTCTTGCCTACCGGCAGCAACAGCCAACGACACATTTTCTTACTATTTTGATGTACACACTCCCGACACACCTACAAGGTAAGGCACAGATAAGGATACCACCTGGGAAATCACACGCTCCTAGTCCAAGTCACACAGTTCTCAGTTTCAAGACAGGGCCACCTTCCCTCAAGTTCATCATGCTGAAGTTTATCACAATCGCTGCAGTTTTTGCAGGTGAGGTAGCATTTACTTATCTTACCTTTACTCTTACTTTACTAAACCAATTATTGAATAACTACAGGATGTATAGGGCCGTTTTGTGAACTATAACCTTACCTACAGTTTTGTTGTGTAACTCAAAACCTGACAAGTGTTGAGGTCACCGAATGCTGTGTTAAAAATCATGAACCAGTATGAAGGCTGTTCGTATATTAATACATGAGACGTTTTATGGGCAACCAATTTGTTTTATTCTTAACACGAGGTTTCACAGCTATTAAGTGACGAAGGAGCAAGAATTGTGTTTGAAACGTCGCGTAAAGAACTAAAATAGGTTGTTATTCCTAAACGTGTCATGTATTTATGTTTGTCCTACTTTTAAATACCTTTCAAGAACGTTCGTACATAATTACCCACTTTAGAAAATCGGATATTTGCAAGTTGTGGTGTATGAAACAACCAACTGAGCTATCTAATGTGGATACCCGATATCGACCTCCGCTATCCACTGTATAAGATCGGCATTCTAATATAATTAATGCCTTGAATCCATCGCTTCCATACTTTGTGTCATGTCCGATTAGTTTTAAAATACTACCGCCCTTACTCAGATACTAGCTTAAATCATTCATACAATAAACTAGTCCGGTGTGTGTGTTATGTGTGTGTTTAACAGCAGCTATCGGATATCCATTCCTTACTGGGTGAACAGATTCACATTTGAAGACAGTCACTTGCCGGCAGTAACTTCATTGTGTTTGACACTCGCTTATCGATTCGAACCGCATATTTCCAGAAAACTCTAATGAGCGAGATAACTTCTGCGAGTGAGTGAATTTAGATTAGCGCCGCTTTTAACAATATTCTAGCAATGTTATGGCGGGGACGCCAGAAATGGGCCTCACACAAAGTACCCATGCCGGCGTGACGAGCAAACGCTTTTACCACTAGGCTAACCCACCGCCCCAGATACCTTCTGTGCAAAGGTAAGGACGTGCACCTGCTGACGTCACTTCCGAAAGGAGGCTACAGCGGCGAATTTTTCATGGTCTTGAGATATGATTCACATGACAATCTATAATATATTTTTGATCCACTGTTTAACTAATACTTGTCTTTCCTCCAGTATGCTACAGCCAGACCTCGGCGCCCATCAGGACCATATGCAGAGCTATCAATCACACTGACTGTTCTATATTTGCCCATCATCCCGAGTGTGGCAGCGACGGGAAAACCTATGACAACAGGTAAAACATACAATGATTTGATGAATGTTGATGGGTATCCTCATATTCACACTATGGGAATTCCGAGTCTCAGATAATTCCAAATTCCTCTTCATTTGGTTGTACGGATTTTTGTTTCATGGCGCTCTGACTTTAAATGTGCCATTGTATCCAGTTTGCGTGGTTCACTGAATTTCAGGAACCAGGGTTCGATATTCGTAAGCGACATTCACACAATGATTTCTATAGTATAACCGTTTTTTCTTTGAGTTCTGGATCCCAAGTAAGGTTACCTAGCTTTGCTTGTCAGTGGTCTATAGCACATGTTTTGATATTATATTGATTTGAGAAAATTTTAGAATTAGAAATGATCAGTTTTATTTATACTCGAATTCTGTGACATGTCGCTAATGTTTTACTGTTTTAACGTCTTTTGTGCCAGATATTTACTAAAATTGTTCTCGTCACAATACATTTGAAATACTGTGAATGTGACGCAAAATGTTAACTCCCCCACTCATTGATTCCTAATATGAGAGGCTACAAACTAAGGCATAATGCTAAGACGCTGCTTCTGTTTGCTTCCTACATCTCCTTCTATGGCTTCTTCTGCATCTTTTGAACGTCTACATTTTACTTCCCAGGTGTCTGTTCTCGAAGGCCCACTGTCAGGACCTCACTCTTCAGGCTGTGCATAATGGGACATGTACCCCAACTTCCGGTACAACCGGAACATCCGGTTCCACTGCCATATACCAGTTCTTCTGTACCCAGATGGCAACCAAACACTGCGGGCATGACGTGGAAAACTTGTGTGGTTCAGACAAAGTAGACTACATGAACTTGTAAGGAACCATTTTTATAGTACTAGGTTTTGTATAGTGTGTGTGAGGGGCGGTGGGGTAGCCTAATGGTTAAAGCGTTGGCTCGTCACGCCGAAGACCCGTGTCGAATCCCCACATGTTGCTGGAATATTAAGCTAAAAGGGCGTAAACCTCAGTCAGTCAGTCAGTCAGAATATATATATAAGCGGCGAGAAGAGAGAGTGAGTGGTATAGTGAGTGAGTGAGTGATTGTGTGTGTGTGTGTGTGTGTGTGTGTGTGTGTGTGTGTGTGTGTGTGTGTGTGTGTGTGTGTGTGTGTGTGTGTGTGTGTGTGTGAACGAGCGATTAAGTTAACTGTTACGCCACTTTTAGCCATATTCTAGCTACAGAAATGGCCTTAACATTTGGGGGAACTAAACCTAGGTGACAACTTTACGCCTTAACCCCAAGGCTTTCACCCTGCCTCTTTGTAGAATTGAGGCGATCGAGTATATTTTAATCTTTATGAAATAACACGTGTGGAAAATTCCTACTTGTTGCACAAGCATTCATAGAAAAAGTTTCAAATGGTTCACAGTATTGTCAATATTTTGTCTTGGAAGCCTGTTGACAGTAAATGCTCTGGTCAGTAAATGTTATTACATCATTATTGCATCCGAAGAACGTATAATCTACCTCTTAATTAAACAAGAGCAGACTTCGCTTAAAACCCCAATGTCAGCCTCCAGTCAACATCCTATTTTTACTGGCCATCGTCGACAGGTATTAATCCTCAAAATGTTTTCACTTTATATTGTATAAATTGTTTTCGTCACGATATGGCTGAGATATTGCCGATGTGACGTTAAATATTAACTCACTCACTCCAGTCAACATCCAGTATCTATCGAAATAGATTCTACTAAATCGCAAAATATCAGTGCATGAGCATGAAAATCTTGCATGGCACCGGGTGTTCACGAAAATAATCAGTGTGCCCTGTTCATCGGGTCGCACCTGCCACTCACACAACTTGCACTGACACAAATAGTATTGTTCAAGGCAATTGTCCCGTTCCGTATTTCTTCAGCCGTGTGTGCCATGATGCATAGATGTAGTTCAGCTTATTTGACAACAGATATTTTACAATTGTATCCTTTTGATAATCCTTTACGTGATCTATATAATTACACCAATCATCTGTGTCTGTGTCCACCATTTGTTTTGTTATTTTGGTTTTTGTTTGTTTTGATCTTTGTTGTTGTTTTTTTGTTTTTTGTTGGTTTTGTTTTGTTATTGGTTTTAATTATAAATTGGCAATCGGCAGTATAAATATAACAGTATTCACAGTATAAGTTGTTCACTGGTCACGAGGGGCATGGGTTGATGTACCCTCGATGTTTGTTTATGTTTCCTGAGGCCGAAGGGCGAGGGGAACATAAACGTACATCGAGGGTACATCAACCCATGAACAACGTGATTATCTTACCGGGTACATCAACCCATGGGTACATCAATCCATGAACAACGTATTTATCTTACCGAACACCTTAATCTTAATTTTGAATTGTTTGATGCACGGGTAGAAATCTTTTTGTAGCCATCGCTAGATTTTGCTGACACGAAAAACAGATTTAGAGTTACGTCCCTTCCATCAATGTGCATTCGCAAAACATCGGTAATTTCCGTACATCATACGTGATTCAATGTTATTCGAGATAAAGAATTACTACCACGAAGTACCAAATGAGTTGCCATTGACAGCGGGGTACATTGAAATGTTACTCGCTTGAAAGCAGAATACACTGAAAATAATAGAAAAGCGCTCAGCCAGTCAGAAAGCGACATTTATGTGTGAGGTAAGATAATATTCATTCTCCACATTTTGAACCAACGGTTTGTTTAAAGTGCCAATACAAGCATTCAAGAAGATTATGTTGTCTGATAATTGTGAAGCAGATTTTGCCTATGACAAAATCCCATGAAACAGATCCGTTTTGCCATCAAAGTAGACACATCCCTATGAGCACAAGCTTGATCACGAGGAAGATCCATTTTATTGCACAATTCTTCACAAATTAGTATGTAAGCCAAATATGCAGATTAAGTAAATAGACTCTCAAATACCTTCAGTTTCAACCGGAGAAAGTACTTAAATTAGATAAAGATTAGATTTAATATAATCACACATATAAAACATGTGTATAATTTAGGTTGCTGACTACATATATCAAGCAATGTAGGTTGATTAGATTTCAATGAATTCAATTAAAATATTATACTTTGGGATGTTCTGCCTTTCCCTCTCATCCCTAAATGCTGATATATGATGAAGAAGTAACTGATTGCCTTTCTATGTCCAATCCTACCGTTTCCTGATACTGACACGATGGCTACCATTAATATTGCCACGCATGCAATGCAATGCCATCGGCCATTGGACAAAACAGCCAATGGTTTTCCTGTCGATGAAACATGGCTGTGTTTCGAGTCGTTGGTTCAACACAGCCACAACACTGCAGCATTGCATTATTCCAGGGTAATGGAGGGACATAGTGTCTACAAACCCGACGCTATTTTTTTCAGGTCCAAACAATATAACACAGTATGACGATACATTCTTTTTATACTTGCAGCTGTCTTTTTGAGAAGGCCCGCTGTACGAGACCGGATCTGTACGTAGCCTCATACACAAAGTGTGCTTGAGTGAGTTTTTGTTCATTTGTTTGTTCAGTTATTTATTTTGTTATTTTTTAAATATAAACTGGCCCAAAAAAGAAACGCAAAATGTATAAAAACGCAAAAATAACGTATATTCTTGATCAAGATCCAAAATCTTTGATTCATAATGGAGACTTACTGTTGTCAACCAATAATGCCTTGGCAATGGGTTTAAAATTTCGTTCAGTTTTGTTCAAACAGATGAACATTCACAATTTAACAAAACGCAACCACTTGCTTACCATGTCTCCCGAGCGCACCAATGTACAACAGGTGAAATGGGTGCATTAGCAAAAAGCAAGGTTTTTGTTTGATTGTCACTTGCTACTAAAGTTAGAGAAAGATCCTGAAAGATGCCCCGACTCGGCGAAGCAGAGAGGAACAATGCTGTCGGTCGTTTGGAAGCTGGTGAATTATTTTCAGCAGTAGCCAGAGTGTTCAACGTGGCGCCAAGCACCTTAATGAGACTGTGGACCCGATATCAGCACCAAGGAACCACACGTGATCGACCCAGATCCGGCAGACCAAGAGTGACCACCAGGGGACAGGACCGGTACATCAGGTTACGTCATCTACGGATTCGAACCACAACCGCGATCTCTACAGCATCCAACATACGGGGCCTGCGTAGGATATCGGCACAGACAGTGAGGAACAGATTGCGAGAAGCAGGACTTCGGGCTCGACGTCCTGTTCGTGGGGTCATTTTGACAGCACAACAACGTCAACAACGTCGCCAATGGTGTCAACAACACAAAGTATGGCCGCAACTGCGTTGGCGAAGAGTGTGGTTCAGTGACGAATCCCGTTTCCTACGCTATCGTTCAGATGGAAGAACTCGAGTTTACAGACGTTCAGGAAGTTGACAGATTCGGTGGTGGAAGGGTTATGGTATGGGCAGCCATCGCACACACTGGAAACACAGATCTTGTCCGTGTGCAAGGCAATCTCATGGCTCGGAGGTACACAGACGAGATCCTGAGACCTCACGTTCTACCCATCACCTGGAACGCCTGGAACGCCAATGTCATTTTCCAGCATGACAATGCCCGGCCACATGCAGCTCGACACACAACAGCTCTGCCCTGGCCGTCAAAATCGCCGAATTTGAATCCTATAGAGCACCTATGGGATGAGTTGGACCGACGTGTACGTCAACGTCAACTACAGCCGCAGACACTAGAACAATTGGCTCAAGCACTTCGGGAGGAGTGGGCCAACATTCCCTAACGTGTCATTCAGACCCTTGTTGGGTCCATGGGAAGGAGATGCCAGGCTGTTCTTGATGCCAATGGTGGGCATACGCGATACTGACAACGTTGATGACCTTGACCTTTGAATGTGACATTTCAACCCTGTTGTAATGACCTCGAGGCGTTCTCCATGCTGCACATTTCCTCCTTTGTAACATTATTTATTAACATATTAAATGTTCCTAAATAATTGAACCAAAATCTTGTTTTGCGTTTCTTTTTTGTGGTAGTATATATACTAGGCACATAAAGAAACTGTGCATACAAACATTTAAAATATAAATTTATCAAACCTGTGTAGACACATAAGGATTTAAACTCTGAGATTAGTGACATGTATCCAACATGCATGCACGTGCCATGTTTCGTGACGTCAGTGGGTTCGTCCTTGAGACGTGCAATACGTTGTTGCACGTGCATTCCAGAAAAGAAAAACAATGCAAATGAATGCCACACAATACTGTCACTTTGGAAAGCTCAACCCCTGTACTTGCGATCGTTCAAAAAATTAAACGGCTATTGAAACGCATAGCATGCCAAGGCTCACGTCTGCACAACGTCATGAGGCCATTGGTATGGTCCGTGGGGGAATGTCTCAACGACAAGTGGCTGCACATTTCCACTGCCACCGGAACACCATTTCTGCACTGGTGAGACGCTACCAGAACACAAATGACGTCATCGATCGGCCACGTCCTGGGCGTCCACTTGTAACAACGCAAAAACAGGGCAGATGGATAAGGGTGACCCATCTTCGCCACAGGTTTCAGACAGCAGTGATGACTGCCCGAACCATCCCAGGACTTCGCCGTATCAACCCCAACACAGTTCGACAACGTTTACGTCATCACGGGATCAGACCACGACGCCCCGCCATACGGCCTATCCTGACACAACGTCATCGACAAGCTCGCCGAACGTGGTGCCGAAATCATGTCCGCAGACCCTTGTTTTGGTGGAGAAATGTTGTTTTTACAGATGAGTCCAGGTTTAACATTTCCCATAGTGATGGACGTCAACGTTCCTATAGACGCGTGGGAGAACGTTATGCACAGGCCTGTGTCTTGGAGAGGAATCGCAAACAAGCCTTCCTTGCACGTTTGATAAGCTCTATGCATCGTCGATGCACTGCTGTTCTCAATGCCGATGGTGGACATACCCGTTATTGAGCTTGTGACATGGTCGTTTGACCCCTGTCCCGTTTGTGGACTCGTGACGTCATTGTGATTGACTTTTCAATTGAAATTCTCCCGACTTGTTAAGTTCTCATGATCCCTCCATTAAAGTTTATATGTACCTTTGACATTGTTATCGTACTGATCAACTGGGATAATATTTTGACAATGCACAGTTTCTTTATGTGGCTAGTATATTTTAGTTTTAGGGGGAGGGTGTACTTATGTATGTATATCCTCGCAGATGATAGATTGCATTTCTTTTTTTGGGATAGTATATATTTTAGTTTTGTGGGGAGAGTGTACTTATGTTTGTATATCCCCGCAGGTGATAGATTGTTGTTGCTTTGTAGTCTGGGATCATGTCAGGGATATCTAGTATAGTCAAACTTAATGAATATGACATGGATCACACACATGATCATTCGCGTTCGCGATGTAGGGTTTGTTAAGTTTGTTTGTTTGTTATTTAACGTTTTCAACTATAGCAGTGGCCTGTAGAAAATCGGGTCTGGATCAGACAATACAGTGACCAATAGCATGAGCATCGATCTACGCAACTGGGATGCGATGACATGTGTCAACCAAGTCAGCGAGCCTGACTAACCGATGCCGTTAGTCGCCTCTTACGACAAGCATGGGTTGCTGAAGATCAATCCTAACCCGGATCTTCACGGGTATGGTGTCATGAAGAATTAAACCACTTCCTATTTTGTAGTTGCAACCCTTATTGCGGCAAAACACTATCGGACGGTATGAAATGTGGCTTTATATTATGCGAGTAATCTAAGTTCTTTTCATCTCTTTCAGGTGTCTGGATTACAATTTACGTGTCAATCTTAAAGAAATAAACAGTTTTTAGCCATTACTTACTATTGCCTGTCATTGAAATGGTTTGCGCGTCACGCCAAAGAAGCGAGTTCGATTACCCACATGGGTACACTGCCTTCCCCTTTGTCAACTCACTGGCTTTTTCAGCATATGGCCAAGCCAATTATGTTTTCAATTTGTTTTCTTTGCTACACTTAGTATACATATACCTTCTCTCCACTTCATGTAACATGCTTGACAACGATACAAGAATCTGTATCGAAACGTCGCACACACGAAATAAGGGACCGGTGGCCCATTCTCCTGTTTTCATTGCAAATTAAGCAAAAGTTCATATCAGGAAATGTGTAAAAACATCAAGCACTCAAATCAGGAAATGTGTAAATTTCATGGAATATTTAGGAAATGTGTACATTTACTGAATGAATCAGGAAATGTACTCATTTCCTAAATATACCAGGAAATTTACACATTTCCTGATTTGACACATTTACTGTTACATATACAAGGAGTGGTTAAAACTGAGCGTTTTACCTTTAAGAAGGATGAAATATATTCACGTTCGATCACTTAACTGGCTCGATGCACCACATTTGCCTCAGTCGATGAAAGTATGATACTTCTCCATAAAACTCGACATGCATGTTCCACATTTTCTTAGATGCTTTATTGTCAGAAATCCGGCCATGTACAGACCACATGTAAAAACCATGCTTCTTATCATCGGTGTGCTAGTAAAAGCAAGGAAGTTGGCTGCTTCAGCTACACATTCTGCAAACAGTTTCTTGAGATGTTCGGGCGCTTCTTCCAATTACATACACTCAATGACAAACACTATTAGCTGGTATTAGATACACCATGGAATGGAGCAATTAGAACTAATCTCAGAGCTAAGAAATCAAACTTACAGCCAACGTGGCGACCTTTAATTCGCAAGGGCTACCAATGGTAAGGTCTCTGGCGGCTCACTTATGATAACTAAACTGGGAACACTTCTTAGCCCTGTTGTTCTAACTTACAAGTTGTTACAGTGAGGATAATTTTCAATTTCGCGGTAGTTCTGTGTATTATTACGCCATCATCTTCTACAAATTAGGGATCTGGATGTTCTCACTGACAAGCTTCCCAAACCAGTTTTGATAATGAGAGACTTAAATCATCATGATCCCTTATCAGGTTCATCAGATCAAATAATAAAGGAACGGTCCTCGAAGAACGGCATCTTCTATGCCTTCTTACTGATTGAAATATACCCCTGTCTCCATCCAGTTACAGGTACATACTCGGCTTAGGACTTGTCCTTTTCTGACCCATCACTCTTTAATAAATATTATAACCATAAAACAGTCACTGACACATTAACATCGCAGAAACAATTAGTAAGAACTCCTAATCTCCCATTTATGATCCTAAATTTGTGATTGTGATTGTGAATCTAACTTCCGATAATTCCAAAGATTACAATTGATCTTGTTCCTTGCGTGAGCTGAAAGATGGTCTCTACAAAAAGCTCGTCACACAGCTTCTACACTAGATGATGTCCACTATCAATTATTACAACATCTACCTGAGATCTCTTTTAGTGCCAAGCAGCAAGCGTCTTGTCTGGTATCTGGAATCCATTAATCTGAAAACTGATATTCAGTCTGGTTCCGAGCATCAGATCGTTAGATTGGAATCATTGTACACGATGCTTTTATGAATATACAACATGTTGTATCAATCCTTCTTTATTTGTAGAAGGCAATATGGCACAATATGAAAATATAGTATTTTGAAAGCCTTCAATGATATGGGTCTTGTGGTCGTATGCCTGAGTGTATCACACGGTTTTATGTAGATAGAAAATTCAACTGAAATATATGATCAGGAAATGGGAGTCCCACAGGGCAGTACCTTTAGCATAAAATCAACAGACTTGCTAAAGTATTAAATGAAAATACCGATGGTTCCTTATTTTTCATGGTGTATCATGGTGCAATTGGTGTAAATCGGAATACTGTTGAGAGACAATTACAACTTTGCATCAATAAAATACATAACGTAGTCACGACAGTGACTACTGACGGTCTAGGCGTCTGAGTTTGTATGCTGGCGATTAGGTGTCTGACTCTGAGGGTGTGGGTTCGAATCCCGGATGGGACTCAACCCAACAACAGTTCTAGAATCTGTGCTTTACTAAGAAAGTGTAATCCCAAATATAACATACGTTACATATGACCACTTTCTAAATGGCATTGTGTATTTCACAGCTTTCGGCCGTGGGAGCCGTGCCAATAAACACTTATCAGAGGGGTACACAAAGTCCGCAGTCTAGACTACCAGTTGTCCGACTTCCATTTTTGTGGAAGCCGCGGTGACTGAGCGCTCTAGGCGTCTGACTTTGCTGCTTGCGATTAGGTGCCTGACTCTGAGGGTGTGGGTTCGAATCCCGGATGGTACTCAACCCAACAAAAGTACTGGAATCTGTACTTTACTAAGAAAGTGTAAAAACAAATATAATATATGTCACAGTAACTACTGATAGTAAAGTAGCCACGGCAGCCAGGGTTCCGATCCACAAAGCGTTCGTAGCGAACTCCATACTTTATTATAGACTTACAAATGCCGTAGTCCTATGAACAGTTTGTGGATAGGGTTCCCGTAGTGCAGAACTTTTGTCCGGACACAACTCGCTTATTGTCGTTTCTGTTACGGTTCAGCTCGTAAATCACTTATTTTAAAACTTGACACCATTTACCATCAGGGACTTTGGTTGTTTGATTGTGCATCTCATCCATTGAAAGCCTGTATGTGGAAACAAATAAACCCTGCCTTAGTTTAAGGCGATTAAAACTAGCTTTGCAATATATCACTAAACCGCACTAACTATCGCTAAACACCTATCAACAACTGACGCAACACACCATCTTGTATCATACCTCAGGTGGAATTTTAAAATGAATGCTGTGAAAAAAAACATCAGACTAAAATATCCCCATTGATGTGAAAGTAAGCCCAGTGTTAAAGATCAAAGTTAATTAGGTACATGTAAATATATTGTTTTGAAACTCGAAGCGATTTATAATTATATTTCCAAAAAATGTCGGAAAGCGGACGTAAAATATCCAAAACAAGTCCGCAAAAAAAACCCCATTTGAACAAACGCACGTGCGTGTATTTGCATCTGTCACCCTTCATGACATTAAGGTAGCATTTTTTGTGTGTGTGTGTTTCTCATCGCCCGTCCGACCCTTCTAAGTTTATTGCCGGCCCTATTTTATTTTTTTTTGTTTAAATCCATATATTTGTTTATAATCCATATACAATCATACAGTTTGGTTCCCCAATAAGTGGGGCGGTGGGGTAGCCTAGTGGTTAAAGCGTTGGCTCGTCACGCCGAAGACCCGGGTTCGATTCCCCACATGGGCACAATGTGTTAAGCCCATTTCTGGTGTCCCCGCCGTGATATTGCTGGAATATTGCTAAAAGCGGCGTAAAACTAAACTCAGTCAGTCAGTCCCCAATAAGTTTACCCTTAAATTGAGTATCCCTTACTTTGTAACAGAACAATCAAATCGCGGTGGCTTGTCGTCGTTTATCAACATTGCTGTTGGTACAAACCACTCAAGGTAGCGCCTCACATAGTCGATTCTCCTCACAGTGCTTTAATTTAACCTCACCCCCAACCCTAACCCATTCCGTCGTTCATGAACACTGCAACACATTTTATAGGCTCAGGAGGTTTTTTTAAACTGCGCCGTCAACACAGAGTGGCACTGAGCGAGATAAAAGTCAGCTCTGACCATGGGGGTAATGGCGCAGGACAACATGATTGATGGAATTAAACTAGTAATCCCGAAGTCATTTGTTTGAATGTATGCTTTCCAATTCAGTCAGGTTGATTAACTAACAGCAGCAGATCCGTGGGGAGGATTATTCTTTATTCAGACTCGCAGTTCGTACATAGCATTTCAAGTGTTCAAAAGTATGAGGTGAATCAGGGGTTTGGTCTTACCAAATACCTGACTCATTAGGTCAGTAAGCAAGCAAGTAATATACTCTTTAAAAAAAGTAGGGGAACTTCATTTCTAATTTACGATTGAAATGGACATATCGGAGTTAATCAATGTTGATATGATAATAATGAATGTTTTGAGAGTGTATCCCCACTTGCACTTCCTTATGACCATAGTTGTTTGTACAGTAAGCGCTCTTGGAAGATGATTGGTGTACGACGTGAAATTTGCATGTGTACGATTTTCATTTTCAAACAATGAAACCCGGCTGGAAACAAACACTAACAGCTGTGTGATAGAAGATGATTGTCAAAATTAATGGTCTACAGTGATTTATCGACCTTCTTGAAAAACGTCAAAATCATGAATGACACCCCATGCAGGTGCATTGGGCTACTGCGTTCTGCACGTGCATCCCATGCGTTGTGTTTAGGAGTGGTGATGGTGGTGCGTTCATAAGAAGTCCGTCTTTGAAAAGTTTGTTAACGCTTATACTTCCTGTCCAAATTGACAGTTCAAGTTTCCCTTCTGTGTTTAAGAATATACAAAACACGAGGTAAACGCCAGAACATAGCCAGCCACGATTATCCTCCCAAACAGCTTCCATTGCGCGTAAAAGGCAAAATAGGGTGGGTGGGTGGATGGATCATAAGTGACGACACAAAGTGCTGCCCTACCAGTACACATGCACATGCCCTCGCACGTGTACAAACATCATTGTTTGTCGCCTGACAAAACGCAATAGTACTGTTGTGGACCATTAAATCCTCGCAACACAATATATAATTTTATTGAAATTGAACATGATATATTGACTTTTAATCTCGTCTGTGACAAGAATACGTTGCTTTTAAACTAAGATACACATATTTGAAAAGAGGTCGTTTCACGGTGGGGACTGTTATAAGGTTTCTAACCAATAGTTTCTCTTGTAGATGAATTGAGGTGAGGTGAATTGGGTTTAACGTCGTACTTGAGAATATTTCGCTCATATGACGACGTGCATGCGTGTGTGTATGTGTATGTGCGGCTGCTTGAA